CGAGCGCACGGTGCCTGTCCCCGTTGCGGCCGCGTGGTTCTGCCGGTGGGGCTGCGGCAGGCTCCCGGCCTCAGTGATCCCTCCGGCTGAAGTCCGGATCTCCCGTTCCACCGCGGAGCTCAGGCGCAGGTTGGGCCCTGCTCTTCGTAGGTTGCTTCATCACCTCGGCTTTGCAAGTTGGAACTGCCATCGGGCGCTGGCCCCGTGCAGGCAGGGCTGGCAGGGACGTGGCCTGCTCCGGGGAGGAGGGAGCGTCCTGTCATCGCGTGGAAGCCCCTACATACCCTCTGCTAAGTCTCCCAGACACAGTAGTGGCATCCTGTAGTGCCCCTTCGTCCTGCGAGTACCTCCACGTGGTGCACGGGCCGCCCTTCCTCTGGGGTTTGGCACCCTGAAACGCTCGCCTTCAAAACCTGTCTGTGAAGGACAGGGCAAGGGATAAGCAGCAAGCTACGTACGGCAGTAATGAAAAGAGCTATTTAAGAAGTGGGTGTAACAAACTCTTAATTAGACATGAGCTAAAATAATGCTGCTCCAAATTCAAGTCAGCTTCTTGGAATGTGGAAGGGAAGTTGAATCCCTCACAAGTGCCAATTAACCTGAGTGAGTCGGATCAGCACGCGGCAGCGAAATACCGAGTTCTTCCACAAATGTCTTTTATGTTGCCGTACCAGTAGCAACCCTTAGAAATGAATAAATAGCTTGCAGGACCGCCTGCCTTACTGTTGTGAGGTGGGAATCACAGAATTCAGGATTTACGATTTTTAAGCTTACCTGTAACGACGTACTGACAGTGTGTGTGATTTGTCTGTAAACTAGGTCTGTCAGATGCAGTCTCTTAAGCTTGCAAGTTGAGCTGGAACAGGTGACTAAAATTAGACTCCTGTGAGATATCTTGGCCTTAACTTCTGGCGTGTCCATCGTGTGGTCCTCGGCACGTAGCTGCAGATCCATTTCCGAGCATTGATCTCCATGCGGAGGCCGTCGCGTGGATTCGCAGTGGCGTTAGGACAAGGATGCGTCTTCCCCTAACCCCGACCCAGACAAATACCAGGAAGAGCCTGCAGAATTACTGCTGCCGACGACATCAGCAGGCCCGTTCTGGGGAAAAGGAGGTTTCCCCCGCGCTCGGTTGCTCCGTGTAGTGCTTTGACCCACGGATCACATCCGCCTGGGTGCGGGACAGCGGCTGGGAGGCGGTGGCTCCGGCAGGGAGGAGGGCTGGGAGCGGTGGCAGCCAGGGCAGCGCAGCAGCCAAGGGCCGCCGTGAATCCTGACCATGCTGAAGGTGAAAACGGGCGGCAGAGAGTGCTGGAAACACCACGGCTGAGACGGCTGGAAAATACCCTCGAGAGCGTGATGGCTGCTGGAGAGCGCGTCGGCGATCTGTGTGTGGGAAGAGCCTTGCGATGGCTCCGCTCCTTACTAAAACGCCGTAGTCACTGGTCCAACGCGCGGTCTCGCGGCTGTTAAACGCTGGTGTTCCTGCCTGGAGCCGGGCCCCCGCGTTCCGCTCGGCCTGCGCTGCC